GATTAGGAGGTGTGGTCTTGTTGGAGGAGGTGTGTCACTAGAGGTGGGCTTTAAGGTTTTAAAAGCCCATGCCAAATCCAGGGTCTTTCACTCTCTGCCTGCTACTTGAGAATCAGGATGTGACTTTCAGCTGCTTCTCTGCCACCGTGCCTGCTTGAGTGCCACCTTACTCCCATATGCTCCCCGCCATGATGTTCATGGACTAAGTCTCTAAAACTATAAGCAAGTCTCCAATTAAATGCTTTCTTTTATGAGTTTTTACCTTGGTCATGGTGTCTCTTCACAGCAGTAGGACACACAGGTACTTTTTAATGGGGAAAGTCACAAAATTGTGGAGGAATTTAGACAATATCCATTTAAAAGAGTAATTTCCCCCAAAAGTGTAAGTAAGGAGGAATGTAATAAATGCCTGAGTCTGAAGATATAGGCTTGTGCCACCACACTTGGCATTAGAAGTCATCACCTTTAATCCTAGCACCCAGGAGACAGAAACATGGATTTCTGTGTGTTCAGGGCTTGAACCACATAGCGAGTTCAAGTCAAGCCAGGGCTATTTGGTGAGATCTTGTCTCAAAAAATAAGCATTTTTAACTTGGGAGGGAAAACAAAATTCACTGGCAGACTCATTTTAGAAAACAACACAGCTAGAGTCATTAAACAGCAGCAACAAAAGAATGTGACAGAATTTATCAAGCAGTAAGAAAACAGAATAAGAAAAGCATGATTTTAGCATGAGTGACTGAAAAAAAGACCTACTTTCTGTGGTGATAACCTTTAAAGGAAAAGGATGGTAGAAAATGGGTGAAGAATGTTGACAGGGAATAGCAGAAGAACAAGGCACCACTGGCTCAGAAGGTGCCCAGCCTTTGACAGTGAAGTACAGGCAGGTAAAGCAGTCAAGAGGATCAAAAAGACACATGTTCAGAACTGGGGAGTCAGAATGGGTCCCATTAGTCCATCCACTCTTGAGGAGATGATAAATTTGTGAAATGTTCTAGAGGAAATTTGGCATATGAATATTCTTTGACCAATGTCTTGTCTCATTTGTAAGAATTTCTCATAAAGTTTTAAAAAAAAAAGTGTGTAAAGGCCACACTGTGGTGTGCATCTATTATATTACTGGCAGCAGTGAGCCTTTGGAAACAGCAGTGTGCTGGCCAGTAAGGGCTTGTATAAGCAGCTTAGTGCTAGCCAGCAGGGAAGAATCAGATAAATCTTGGTTTGTTTGCAATGGGGAGAGATAACAAGATAATCTATGACACTAACCAACTTGCAAAACAATGCATAAAAATACGAATCCACCTTCCCACACCTTTCTTTAAGATAGAAGATAAGATTTCATTGAGTGTGGTGGTTGTTTTTCTTTTCTTTCTTGGAAACCATATTGAGAAAGCACAGGATGGTGGAATGAATCCATATCTTTGAGCAATGGAGTGGAGAATGTGGAGAATGGATGAACGAGTGTTCAGGTGAGCAAGTGCCAAGCAACCATAGTCCCTCCTGTCTACTCCTCCTGCTTTGGTAGGGCTGCCTGCCTTATTCTTTGTTTGTTTGTTTGTTTCCTGAGACAGTTTCCCTGTGTATCTTTGGAGCCTGTCCTGGAACTCACTTTGAAGACTAGGTTAATCTCAGACTCACAGAGATCCACCTGCCTTTGCCCCCTGAGTGCTGGGACTAAATGCGTGTATCACCACCATCCAGCTTCTGCCTTGTTTTTTTTTTTTTTTTAAGCACTACCTATTTTTAATTTCTTTCATGAAAGATAACATAATTCATGAAGTATCAGGTTAACTTATTATTGTTATTTTTGCTTTATTATTCCTGCTGTCATCTGTATGTTAAGGTTTTGTTGTTGTAGTGTATGTTAAGGTTTTGTTGTTGTAGTGGGTGTTTTTGTTTTGTTTTTCATTACATTTTCTAAGAAAGCCCATGAGACTCAACCAGCACAATATTTCTGGTTAGATCTGTCTGTTACCTCACTTTTATAACTCATGAAAGCAAGATGTTATCCTCCATGCCATCTTTCTGCCTCTTTTGGCCCTGTGAGTTTGAATATAAGTTACTGTTGCCTTTTGTTGAAGTTAAAGCAAATACCACTTCAGTCTCAGTCTTCCTCTCCCCAAATCTTACCCTCTAGCCCAAGCTGAATTGGAATTCATGATCCTCCTGCCTCAGTCTCCTGAGAACAGGATCACAGGCATGGACTATTATATGTAGTCCTTTGCTAGGCAGGTGAAGCATGGGGACACACATACTGTACAATAGTATAGAGCAGTTCTCAGAACTCAGGAGGATGTATGTATGTTCTGTGTTGCTGCCAAGTGATCTTAAGCAAATGCCTGCTTAATTGCTGAGTCTCATGGGCTTGATTTCTGAACAGCTCCATGAAGTTGTCACCGTTATTCCTGGACACTCTAGTGCTGTCTAGTGAGAATTTCTATAGTGGTGGGGCTATTCTAAGGAGTTATTTAATATGTCATGTACTAAATTGCTGGCTTTGTTTATTTATTTAGTATATGTTGTATGTTTGCAGTGCTATATAAGGTCATGATTAGATCATGTTATCCCAACCATTTAGAGGTAAATATCTGGTATGTGTTAAATGCGATCATTATAGAATTATTTGTCTGGGTTGATTCCCCCCCCCCCATGATAGTGGTTTTGTTCCATGTTTTTGTTTATGCTGGGATTTTAGGAAACACCAAAAACCTGCTTTTGGATTCTACACCATGTTAGCTGCTGTTTGCTCATTTCCTAATTGTTTGCATGATGTTGGCCACACTTTCACCCTCAAATCCTAATTACATAATAAACCACAGGTGTCTGGCAGCTGTATGTGTTGGGTGGCCACCATATTGAACACAGATCAAGAAGATCTGAGAGCCGGGCAGGCCTTTAAACCCAGCGCTTGGGAGACAGAGGCAGGTGAATCTCAGTGAGTTCTGGGTGAGCCTGGTCTACAAAGCAAGTTCCAGGACAGCCAGCAAACCCTGTTTTGAAAAAAACAAAACAAACAAACAAACAAACAAGATCTGAGAGAGATTATCAGCCACTGTCAACTGGCTGACAGTACCCAATGGCTGTAGAAATATTCTTTCAAGTGTACATGGAACTTTCACAGACAGAACAAATATAGACCTTGAAATCTCATGTAGTATAATCTGTGACTAACAATATTAAACTAGGAAATAGTAATAAGACTTACTCAGCACTTGGGAGACAGAGGCAGGTGGATCTCTGTTGTGAATTACAGACCAGTCAGGGCTATGTGTGAGATCCTGTCTCAAAAACTGACCAAAGAACAGAGCAATAAGAAGCTACCTAAAAATGGCTACAAATATGGAAACCAGGATGACACTATATAATTATGGGGCAAAGACGTTTAAATGATAATAAAAAATATACTTTATCAGAAATTGTAGGTCACAACTGAAACAATGCTGAGAGGGGACATACAATTTCACATTCTATTAAAATAGGAAGAGAATATTCTCAACAACATGATTAGAATTGGAGATTGTAGTGTTAAATGAAAGAAGCTAGGCATAGAGAAATAAGTGCCCTACAGGCTTACTTGCATGTGTGATCTAAAAGAGTTTATCTCAGTTGAACTTCTGATGCTATGTAGTTATAGAGGCTGGGAAGGAGGGAGTGTGCCAAAAGCTTGGTCAGTTATAGTTAGGTAAGAGCTGGAAGACCTGGTGTGTAGTAGATGACAATAGATAATTGTGTAAGCTAGATTTAAATCTTGAAAGAGTTTGATTATCTGTACCATAAAGACATAAATGTTTGAGGAGATTGATATGCGTAACTAGAGGAGAACACTACACAGTCTGTTTATGTATAAAATATCACCTGGTAAGTTTTAAAATAAAAAATGTTTTTAGACTTACTTGTTTTATGTATATATTTATGCTTGTGGTGTGTGTACCTGGTGTGTGTGTGTGTGTGAGTTAAAAGAGGGCATTAGATCACCTGGAACTGGATTTACATATGGTTGTGAGCTGCCATGTGGCTGCTGGGAATCAAACCTGGGTCCTGTAAGAACAAGTGCTCTAACCATTGAGCAAGCCCTGATTTTTAATTTTTAATGTGTCAAATAAATTTTAAATTAAGAGAGGGGTAAGTTATTCTAAATTATCACTTTAAACAACAACAACAAAAATAAATAAATAAAAACAAATCCAAAGTGAAGTAGCCAGAAAAAAATGAAAATGATAGCAATAGAAGACTAACAAACCTAGGAAAAAGTAGTGTGGTACATCTTTCTTTACTAACTTGTAAGCTTCCAGTGACTAACAATGAAATTAATGAAAAAGACTTCTACTTTAGAAGTTCTAGGGATGCAGTTTGTAGAGGAAAGCAGGGTTAAATTAAGTTTGGCAACTTAAGATTCTTTTCATAATCAAGTCTCAACTTTCTTGTATTCAGATTCATATCAGTGGTGCTTTGCATAGTCGTGCATTCCTTTAATCTCATTTGGGAGGCAGAGGCAGGCAAGTTTCTCAAAGTTCAACCCTACTCTGGTCTTCATAGGGAGTTCTAGACCAACCAGGGTTATACAGTGAAACCTAGTCTCAAAAACAACAAAAATGCATGTTAGTATTCTGATATATGTGTTTTGGAAACAGCATTGAGTTACAAGATACAGAGTCTACAAACATACTTTATAAAGCCAGGAAAGAACTTTAAAGTTGATAATTCCATGCCTTTAGGGCAAGCACTCAGGAGGCAGATGCAGGTGGATCTCTGTGAGTTCGAAGACAGCCATGACTGTTAGTTACACTGAGGAACCATGTCTCAAATAAATAGACAAACAAGTAAAAACAAATGAACCCAGCTGTGTACACCCTATCTGGAACATGTTTATACTCCCGGATGTAGGTGTCTCCAAAGCAGTGTGCAGAAGTGATCACCTCAGGAATTGGTAGGAGTCTCATTAAACTTGGTGGAGAAGAGAAGGACATGTAAGTAAACCAAGATTTTTTTTTTTCTTACAGGTTTATTGACAAGAAGGAAAGGCTAAGCCAGCTTAAGAGCAAGCAAGAAGAGTTTCAGAAAGAGTAAGTTTTTATTCATTAATTTGTAGAGGCTGTCTGGAGCTACTTAGTTTAGTCTGTTGCTGTGGTTGCTGATATGTGAATTGCCAGCTCATTTAGCAGACTATCTTCTAAGGTGCTGGGAAGCACACCCTGATAGCTCACTGGGTGGAACATCAGACTTAAAGTGTGGGGGAAGGAGAGGGAGTGTGTGAGTGAGAGAAGTGAAGCAAGAGAGAATACCAAGTTTCTAGAAAATCTTGGCCAAAGACTGGCGTCGTTCCCACAGTAATGACTTGGTCTTTGGACAGGGGAGTCACCCTTGGCCCTATTCACTGATGGTGGCCTACAAGTTAGTATTCACAGAGGTGGTTCACATAGGACCTCATCGCTTCCCTTTATGTTCTTCTTTGGCAATCAGTAAAAGGCAGTGTATCTTTTGGTAATCAGTTTAGAGCAGTAAAGTTCTAGGTGTCAAAATTCAGTAGCCAAGATATGTTTTAGGATGCAGATTCTTGGACTCCTAGCCTCAGATATTCTGATGAAGTAAGTCTAAGTGAGGCCCAAGACTCTGAATTGTTAATCATCACTCTATGACTGCCTTACCCCTTAAGCTTGAGGATTCTTCTGTAGAACCTTCTGCCTAAAATGACCTGGTAGCAGCTATCCTGAGGTGCCTGCTGGCATTTGACTCTTACTAAAAGCTGATCTTAGTCAGCTTTAGCAGTATTCACCTACATCCAGAAGGCTTAGTTCTTAGTTCAAGATGAACATAAGCAAGAGCCAGAATTAAAAACAAAAGGAAAAATAAATGCTGGAGAGATGGCTCAGCCTTTTTAAGGCCTTCTCTTCTCCATGCATGTCTTGCCCATCACTTGAGGTCCTCTGCTGACCTTTCCCAAACCAGGCCAATATGGAAATATCTTTACTGGTGAAGACTACTGATATCTGTGCCACTGATTTCCACAATGACCCCTGCTCTGACTTTGGTAATGAGAATATTTTAAATGGAACATGAAGAATTAAAGCACATCCTTAAGTTTTCAATTTTGCACTTTGAATATCAAGAAAGCAATTACTCTAACAATCAAAGAAACATGTTGAACTAACTAAACAGAAAATAAAGTCAGTATTTAAGTCATTGCATTTATTGTCATTAGTGAAAACAGATGTCCTTATAACTCCTTATAACAGCACACTTCATAATATCATTATTCACTTAAAACACTACAAAAGTTTACAAAGAACATTTGGATTTCACAATTGCTTATAGAATACCTTACAATATTAAAATCGTCATGATGCTTTATATGAAAATAAAGACAATCTCAGCAAACAAAAAAAGAGAGATTCAGTATCACAAATTTAAAGTGTGAATTCATATGTGAATTCAAAAAGGAATCCATTTAAACCTTGCATTGCCACATAATTACCTATTTTGCAAACTAATAAAAACGATGTACTTTTTGAAAACATGTACATCAGAAGCAGAAAGTTAATTGGTGTGTTTTCTGGTTTGGTTCCAGAGGCATTTTTGACACATCTTGAGGCAGTGCCTCTGCCAGCTTGGCAGCCTTTTTCTTGTCTGTTACTTCTTTAACTCTGTTCATTTAACTCTAATTCTTGCTTCACTGGATGCTCCTTAGGATTAACTCCTAGAGTTACCAAATAAACCCAAAACATTGGGCTTAATGTGTGTGTAGAAACTAAATCCTCCTCCTCTTGTTCCTGTGGGTCCAACTGCTGCAATAACTCGTTTGTAGATACAGACATCATGGTCTTCAGCATGTCAGCCACACCACCCAGGGAGCTCTCCAGGGCTGATAAGATTCATGAATTTCTACAGGATGGTCTTTATTCATTTCTTCCCCTGCCATTTCAACTAACTCTACTGAATCCTCAGACCAAAGGAGCAGTCCTGTCCTTATGAATCCTCAGACTGAATGTCCAGCCATGTCTAGTAATCCTCAGACTGAATGTCAACAGGCTCCTCTTAGACATATTTATGAGCAGAAGAAAACCCTCTAAGAAAAGCATGCTTCATAAAAACCTGCCTGAATGTATTTGGCCCAGCTGTTTCTCTAGCTTATTCCTTCACAGAATCTTTTTTCCCAGAGTTCTTCATTCCTAGGACCATTACCTCTTGGTAATGTTATAGGCAGAAAAATTGTAAGGAATAAAGCATTTGGAAAATAATTTGTTAAGAGCCACTTTGATATTTTCAGGTTTTTCCGCACCTGCCTTAAAAAGTTGATCCATTAGCCAGACAGTATGCACCTATAATTACAAGGCTGCATTCAAGACTAACCTGGGCACATAGCAACAGCCAGTATTGAAAACAAAAGGGAAAGTAGGGGCTGGAGATAGCTCAGCCTTTAAGAGCACTGGCTGCTCTTGAATTCAGGAGGCCTCAGGTTTCATTGCTTGCACCCATATAGTAGCTCACAACCTTCTGTAACTCCAGTTTTAGGAGATTGATCTGACATCCTCTTCTGGCTTCTCTAGGTACCAGGCATATACATGTAGGCAAAACACCCACATACATAGTAAGTTTTTAAACATTGATATATATCTTTTGAGCTTTATAAGATTTTTATTAAGAACGTCAATCTTTCTCTTTCCCATACAGAGTACTAAAAGCTATGGAAGGAAAACAGCTAACAGATCAGTTGGTAAGTTCTAGGAAGTATTTAAGTTAACTCATCATTCATGAGGCTACATGTTTTTAAGGTAGTAGAGATTAAAGAAATAATTCTTTAACTTAGTTTTTCACCACATTTGACGGTCTGGTGTCTAAGTATGTTTGTAGTGTGGCCTTCTATACTATTACATAGAGAAATGGGATAGGTGATTAAGTTATATAACCATCATAAAAGATAATTATACAAGTCTACTCTTGGCATAGTAATATAGAAACAAGTAGATCATCAGTTTGCAAAAATTACAATGAACACATGTGCAGGTGAGTTAATGATGAGATATAAAACACTAGAGAGTCAGGAGTAGCTGGGCATGGTGATGTGTGCCTAGAATCCCATCCTTGGTAGCCGAAGATAGGAGGATTGAGATGTGAAGCCATCTGGGGCTACATGAGATGCCAGCTTAAAACAAAACAAGAATATTGTAGTGTGCTTATGTAATTTGGTGTTTAGAAGCCACAGCAAAAAGCATTTGGCATAGTAAACTAATTTAAAAATCTTGTGCATTAAACAAAATTAACTGCTAAACTGAGAAAAGGAAGCAAATGTGTAAATTAGGGACTTTGGCAGGGCTCTGACACTTTGTTCCCTGTTGGCAGCATCACAGAGACACACTTGACTTGGGAGGGAGTCCATGATGCTTACACAACACTTGTGTGCTCAGCAAATTTCTCCTAAGAAATAGACACAGACACAGAGACTTTTGGGTAGCAAACTGACTGTAGCACCTCTGTAAAGTTAACAAATGAACTCTCGAAGAACCCAAGCCTGTGGAGCTGCTTTGGTATTCATGTACAGAGATATCACGGCAAGTCGCATAACTGTGTCCAAATTAGTGTGGCAATCTGATTTTTAACGATATATAAAACAAGGTTAGTATACATGTGCCCAAAAGGAAGTATGTCTGAGGTAAAATTTTTAATGAGACAAAGGTAAGGGAATGTCATTCCCTTTGTATGTGTATTTTAAATATACTGTAAAAATGACCCATGGTGGACTGGCATTAGCAATGTGGGGTAGGCCAGTGGGGGGACTGCATGCTGAGCATTCATGAGGCTCTGGGCCGCCTCAGCCATACAAAGGAAGAGCTTGCCCCTGATGAGGGCAGAATCCGTATAATAGTCAAATTTCCTTTTTCCTGCAGCGTCTAATCCCCCCCCCCCCCCCATGACACTTAATGTATACTTATGAGCTGGGCAGAGAAACCCTGTCTCAAAAAATAAAACAAACAAACAAAAAACAAACAAACAAACAAAAAAGACAGGTGACTCATGATGTGAATATTATAATTAAGATGTCCAGTGAAAAATCTTTTAAAGTCCTTATAACATACACACTTTTCTGTATAATCCTAGGCCTGTTGGTGTACATCGGAGAGACTAAGGCAGGAGAATCATGAGTTCAAGTCCAAGGTGCACTATGCAATAGCTTAGTCCTCTCAAAATAAAAATAGGGGCAGGTATATTGAGGCTCTATAAAGGAACAGACAAATCTATCTGTCTTGTCTATCTAGAAGGGTGACGTATTAGAGTGGCTTACAGGCTGTGGTCCAGCTAGAGCTGTCTCCTCATGGAAATTCCAAGAATCCAGAATCCAGTAGATGCTCAGTCCATGAGGCTGGATGTGTCAGCTGTGTCTTCAGTATATGTTGGGATCCCAAAGAAGTAGGCTCTAAAGCCAGTGAAAGAATGCCTCAGCAGCAGGATTGATGAACTTGCCAGAAAGATTGAGGGCTAGCAGGCAAAAAGCAAAAGCATTTTTCATATCCTTCATATAGGCTGCTATGAAAGGTAGCCCAGATTTAGGATGGGTTCCAGCCTCAAATGATTCATTTAACTAAATATCCCTCATATGTATGCCCAGCTGTTAGGGTTTTTACTTAATTCCAGATGGAGTCAAGTTGATAACCAAGAATAGTCATTACAAGTCCTCCACCCCTTGCCATCTTTACATACAATCATGTCTGCTTATGTCATACTTAATATCCAAATGAAAACAATAACCAGGTCATAATTATACCTAACATGATATAAACATTCCACATACAACTGCAAACATGTTATATATTTTAGAATGGATGCCAGTGTCACTCGAGGGACATTGTTTTAGTATCTGATAACTTAAATATGATAAGGATTGATATATCTCAAACAAGGAAGAAAAAATTCTGCCCAAGCACTTTCTAAACCAAATAAAACAGAGACACTCATGTTAGTTATAACCCACATTATTGCAACTAGTTAAGTGGCCTTAACTGGTATTTATGTCTTCCTTCCTCTGCTGTCCATTCTATATTTTATCCACCACCAGCAAGTACCTTAGCAGGTCTTGGTTCTTTTTTGGAGAATTACTCACACCTTCATTCCTGAGGGTCTGTGACCTTTGTTACCGTACCTGGGTTGAATTGTTTAGTTGACTTTGATCACAGGACCTGGCAGCAACAAGATATGATCTAAAGGATCTCCCCGCATTCTATCCTAAAGGAGCTCCTGCATCTTCATTGCCAAAAGGGAATACAATTTCCTTTGGTGATCTGGAGCAATCACCCCTCCTAACACTGTTATCCCTTTCTTTAACCTGATGGCTTAGGAGCATCAGAAACCCAAAGTGGCCAGGGGAGTCTGAGCTTCCAGTTCAGTGGAATGGTTGTTTTGTCTCCTGGTAGGAGCACTCCCTATTCTGGAAACCAAACTTGTAGGTCAGCAGAACTCAAGTTCATGGAAACAGGAAGCAAACATTTGGTCCCTAGGAGTGAGAGTGGAAGCATTCCCTTTCCACCCTTGGATTCATGGCTGTGGATCCTGGCTATGGGAGAAACTGTAGCATATATTGGATGCTGCTTCAAAGCATATACTGCCTTCTGGAGGACTCTGCCCCAGCCTTCCATGCTGCTGCTTAATTAGCCCTGTACCTCTCTTCAAAAAGCTGGCCATTCCATCATTCTATCAGGCCAGTTGCTTCAGGATTGTGGGGAACCATGTTAAGACCAATGGAGTGGGCAAGACAGGCAAAGGACTTGCTGCACAAGCCTCATGACCTTCATCGGAATTCACATAAAAGTGAAAGGAGAGAAACTACATTACAGAGTTGTTTCCTGACTTCCATGGTCCATTGCCTGCCTGCCTCCCCACCCCCTGCCAGTATTTAAAGACAAATGAAAACACACCCCCTGCCACTGTTCTGTATTTTGTGTCATTGGACTACTTATATAAATGCTAACACTATAATACTTTATTTTAAGACTTAATTACTCAAACCTAGGAAGACAATGGAAAATAATTGTGATTGCTGTGACAAAACGCTGACCAAGGCAACTTATAAAAGAAAACATTTACTTTGGCTTAGTGTTTCAGAGCATTAAGAGTTCATTATGGGGATAGAAGGAACAATTTTGGATTCACATCTTGATCCACATACACGAGGCAGGGTTGGGAGGTGACAAGCTGATGCTTCTGGTAGGCAATTGAAACTTCCAAGCCTGCCTCGGCCAACAAGGTTACATCGAATCTTTTCAAACTGTTCCATCCAGGAAGGCCTTGAAATCCTGAACCTTGTATCTCCACCTCCCAAGTGCTAGGATTCTAGTTCCATACCACCACACCAGCTTAGCCAGGTTGGTAGGCAGCTATGTACTTCATAGGGAACATTTGAACACATTTTCCTCTGTGCTTTCACCCATGGGAAAGAACTGAATGGATTTCTTCCTTGTTAATGTCTTAGCAGCTACTGTATTGAACCAGAAAGATACTTTTCTTTGTAATTCACCATAGGTACAAACAGTCATAGCAAATGCAGTTATGATAGATTTTTCTTCACTGTCTCCTAAGGTAGACCTGAAAATAAGCAGTAATTCAAGATAGACAATCCCATGAGACTGATGCTTGTGACATTTGTTGTGTATTTTTTTTTTTAAGAGATGGAAAATAATGTCTTGCAAGATGAGGATTGAACAGTTGAAACAAACAATATGTAAAGGAAATGAAGAAATGAAGAAAAGTAAGTGATTTCTTCTCCCTGAAGCCCCAGTGAGAGGCCTGAGTGAGTTTGGTGGGGTTAATGAGCTAGAGGGATGGTGAGAGAGGCAGGGTTGGACAGGAATTGGTTAATTTTCTCATTGTTCTGACAAGAGTGCCTTCTTTAAAGAAGGGTTTATTTAGCTCACAGTTGAAGGGTACATTCCATCCTGGAGGGAAGTCATGGTGGCAGGAGCCTGAGGTAGTAGGGCAGGGCACATGGCTTTCAGTCCGGAGGAAGAGAGGTAAGTGTATACACCTAGTGTGCTCTCTCTTTGTTCAGTCTGGGAACCAACCCAAGAAAGTGTGCTGCCTGCACTCAAGGTGGGTCTCCTCACCCCATTAACTCAGCCTAGAAATTTCTGATAAACATGCCCAGAGGTTTGTGTCCTGTGATACTTGATCCTGTCAAGTTGGCAGTATTGACCATCACAGGCTATCAGTAAGTTTGAAGAGTTTATTATGGGTTCAAAACATCAAATCCCTAATTTGAAATACCTTTAAACTACAAGTATTTTGGATTTTAGATTTTTTTGAATTTTGGAAATGTGTGTGTTTGTGTATGCTCATGCGTGTGTGCGTGCATGTGCACATGCTTGTGCTCACGTGTGTGTGTAAAATGAAATATCATGGTGTTGGGGCCCTCTAAACATGAAATTCATTTGTGTTTTATACATACCTTATACATGTACCCTGGAGGTAATTTCATAGAGTATTTTTAGTGAGCCTACATCTTGACTTTGAGAACAAGTATAGAGTTAAAATTGTAGCATCAGGTCAGCACTCAAAATGTTCTAGATTTTAAGGCTGAGTGTGGTGACATCCACCTTTAACCCCAGCACGCTGGCAGAGGTGATGGATCTCTTGAGTCTGAGGCCAGCCTGGTTTATACATCAAATTCTAAGGCTTAGTAAGACTCTGTCTTAAAAAAAGTTGTGGGTTTAGAGCATTTCATTCTTCAGATTTATTTCTTAATTGAGAAAGGGTGTTGCTCTATAGCCCAGTTTGGCCTGAAATTCCCTAGCCGCCTCTCATCCTGAATGTCGTGCACAGCCCCATATTTCCATGTCTCTCTGCTTGCTTGCTTTTCTCTGGCAATCGTGTAGGGGATTTTTGCAGGTCTTCTACAGCTGTCTCAATCTAAACAGAAGGGCTGGGAATGCAGTTCACTTAGAGCTTTGCCTGTCTTCAGCTCTTGGCTTGATCACCTACACCGTAAAACTAGACACTGGGGCACATTTGCTGTTGTGCAGTAGTAGACAAGAAGGGCAGAATCTGCCTTGAGACTCACTTGTAATATTCAGTACTCATGCAGAAACATGAAACCAAGACTTTTGCCCCTTAGTGGACTCTTGTATATAAAATTTGTACTGTTTTCACATTATAGATAAATAAATACTCTCAATGTTATCATAGGTGACTGTTAAATTTCGTGTCCTCAAGATTAGTGTCTCAGTTACTTTTTCTGTTGCTGTGATAAAACACCATCCCAAGACAGCTTTTAAAAGATATTTAATTGGTACGGTTGCAGGAACAGCTAAGAGCTCACTTTTCAAACCATAAGCAGGAAGCAGTTTGGTGAGAATGGCAGGAAGCTTTTTAAGCCTCAGACCCAACCCCCTGGGTCATACCTCCTAAACCTTCCTAAACATTTCTACCAACTGGAGACCAAACATTTAAGCATAGTGAGCCTATGGGGCCATTCTCATTCAGACCATCGTCACTGGTTCCCATGATGTTTACGAGTCTCTTCTCATTTAGATTAGTTACTTTGTGGTTTGAGGTGTTGGTGTCAGAGCTCCTTTGGAAGGAAGGTCCTTACTCTCATGAAGCACTTGTATAGTGTTAGATGGGCTGGACAGCTAGAGCAGCAAGGCGGCATGATATATAGATACAGATCTTCAGGGACAGGGATCCTCGACTTTTGCTTGCTTTCTCCAGGTGTTGGGTTCATCAGCAGTACCAGAAGTAGTTACTTAACACTGACTTGCTATTTCCCCCAGCAACCTCTCGTGATGCTCAGGTGGGTGTCCCGACCTTCTGGTGCTGCACAGTGTGTTTGATCATGTGCATGAGTAAAACTTTAATCAGCTCATTCTAACAGGTTTCTAAACTTTAAATAAAAGCATGTCATAAAGCAGTGGACTGTAGCACATTTTGAGTGTGACCTCATGACCATTTTTAATCAGAGCAGAGAAATCTAGGGTCCACTCTAGGCTTACTTATTGCTCTGTTGAGAAAAGTTTGTACACACTTATTGTAGATTCCATAATGCTGTCAGCTCCAATCCATGGACCTCACTTTGGGTTGCTGTGGGTGGCTCTGATGGCTGCCTGAGTTAAAAACTGTTGCTTGATAGATGGAGGCTACAGTCTTAGTGCCTGCCCTCTACAGCCAGTGCAGTGTTGCAAGCCATTTTAAAGGAGTTCACAAATTCTAGAAGTGATTTGTGACCCCAAGCTCACAGATGAAGAGGCTGCTACCCAGTAATCTTTATCTTAATGCTGTGTTGTTGGAAGCTGTAGAGCCTGGTGAATTACTTCTCCAGAACCTTTGATTCAAAGCTTCACAGTGCAGTATGATGCACATACATTGAATCACATGGCCAGGAGAGCTGGTTATGTATTTGTGAATGTGGGCTTGATCTGGCTGCAGAGTTGATTAGAAATAGTATTGTGTGCTTTGGTGTTTCAGGGGAGACAATAGGGGTTGATGAGGGAGCCCTGAGTTCCATCTGCACCGGCTGCAGGTGGGATGCCTGAACATCTTGTCACCTGTGCTGGGGGAAGGTACTTAGTTTAAACTGGTCAAAAAAAAAGTGTCTGGCTCAGGACCATGGCTGGACAAGTTCTTGTGAGTACTTCAAGGGACAATAGAAATCACAGGCATGAAGGAGTGAAAAGTAAAACTCAGCTTGTGTGGGACTAAGTCTCAGAATGTTTTACTAAGACATCTGCAGGGAACTGGCTTGGAGTTGTTTCTGAGAGGAGATGGAAAACTAAGGAAGCTCATGCCTGTGCTAAACCAGAAGCTTGGGTCCTGAGAAAGGAGCGGCTAGTGTCTGTAGGTGTCACTGGGTGCTTGTTACAAGTGTCAGTGGGCTCTGGTGTGAAGAACTAAGAAGTCAAACAGTCCAGACTGTGAGAAACAGGTCTGGGGGGCATTCACGGGCAGAGCCTTGCTAATGAGAAAAATAATGGAAATGATGGAAAACTAGTAAATAATAAATAGTGGGGAACGGGAAAGTAGGAGCAAATAAGGCATAGTCCCATACAGACAGTACTTTGAAGGACGATGTGGGGAGGAGTGTTTGCAGCATGATAACTACTTTAGTGTTCCATCCCTCATCCAGTCACTACCATTAAGGGGATCTGAAAGATGGAGGCATTGAACATAGGGTAAAAGGGAACTGTGGCTATGCCAATTTGGAGGTTAAAAATTTGGTTTGTGTTTGAGAACTGTCAGGCATTGGCTGTAGTTTATAAAGATTGTGCAAGGCCATGCAAGGTAACATATACCTGTAATTTCAACATTCATCAGGCTGAGGCAAGAAGAACACACACACACACACACACACACACACACACACACACACACACACACACACACACACGGGGTGGGGTGGGATGGGGGGGACAGATAGGTTGGAGTTGAGCCACCCTGGAGATGAGCAGCATTTAAGTGAGAGTTAATTAAAAACAACAATGAGAGTGGAAAGCAAGGCACAAACAGGATGTAGACTAGCTAATGGAATCACTGTAGGGTGCTTGCTGAGGCATCACACAGGTGACAGTGACACATGTATCCAGAGGTGGTATTCCTGGAAGGCCCTGAGCTTGGTTTTGAACTTGAGAATGTGGTTCCTAGATATTTGTCTTAAGAGTTTGGTTTGTTTTTTTTTTTTTTTGACTCAAATGAAGCTTAACTACATACAGTGACTTTAGCAAGCCTCAGACTCCAGAGCCCATAGGCTCTCTCCAGGAAGGCCTTAGTGAGTTTTTTCTTGAGGCTTTACTGTGAATGTAGCGTGGGAAGGGGAGCAGTGCTATGTGGCCTGCTGGGCTAATGGAGACATGTGATTTATTGTTAGATTCTGAAGGCCTTCTCAAAAACAAGGAAAAGAACCAAAAGCTTTACAGCCGAGCACAGCGGCACCAGGATAAGAAGGAGAAGATTCAGCGGCACAACCGCAAGCTGGGGGACCTGGTGGAGAAGAAAACCATTGACTTGAGGAGTCACTATGAGCGGCTGGCGCGTCTGCGAAGGTCCCACATCCTAGAGCTCATCTCTGTCATCTTCCCAATGGATGAAGTGAAGACTTCTGTGAGGTCAGTAAGAAGGCCTTGGCATGCGGGACTAGGTTCTGAGGACTGTTTTTTCCATCCAGTGTGTCAGCACTTAATTTCCTGGGCCTCATCCTTGTTTTCCTGGTAATGAAATTTGATTCTTATCTTCCTCAGCAAACAGTAAAGCCAGGGAGGCAGCCGGGACAAGGTGGGGCAGCCTGTGTTCTGTCACCAGGCGGCCAGGTTAGATGCTGACTCACATCCTGCTGAAAGGCCATCTGTTGGGCCATGTCATCACAGTGCCAGCCAGGCTACTTACTAGTTGTGTATGTGAGAGAGACACTCTTGAACCCACAAACCTGATTTCCTTGTCTATTAACTGAGGATGAAAATCATGTGCTTTAGAGTGTGAACTTGTGTATAAGAACACACCTAGTGCCTAGTCTTAGGTGCTTACTTAGCCTGTCCTGATGAAGGGCATTTATTCTGTTCTGCTGAAACAGCACTGTCATTTTAGTGCATAGGGTCTCTCAGGAAATAGATGACGGTGGTTCCCCACCTTGCCATTTGTCACAGTCATCTGGAGAGCTTCTGATAAAGCTCATGAGGGCCCAGTGGCTGAAAACTGTAAGTCTAGTCACTTGGATGGTGAGCCAGGAGGATTATAATTCAAGGATACCCTGGGCAATTTAACTGATCCTGTCTCAACTTAAAAAGATGGCTGGGCTGTAGTTCAGATCTTCTTCAGCATGAGCCCCATAGTATGCCCATTCTCCAGCACTCAAAAAGGGGGGGGGGTTAGCTAGAGACCAGAGTGAATACTCTAGTTCCTTTGCTCCTTCTCAGTATTCTTTAGATGGGGGTGCACACTCTAGCCTCCTTTACATCTCATTATTCTGTTCATGTAGATGCTGATTGGCAGGTATGGAAACAGACACTTGAATCTCATGTGCTCTCTAACCCCCAGGCCACAGAACCTGAGTGAGGGCACTTGTGTCTCCTGGCTCTCCTGCTCTGCCTGGACTGACAGTGGTGACTAGTAATACTAGTAGCCATTCTTTCTTGCTTCTCTCTTTGCTCTGTTTCCAGATTTGGCTTCCTAAAAACTTAAAGATCCGAGTTTGTGCTTCATGTTTGAAAACCCACTCCTTCCCTGATCTTGCCAAGTAATCTGTGTCTAGTAGGAGGTGATAGAGCTGTGCCTGGTGGCATAGACTGTATGATCCCAGATATTTAGGAGGTTTACATAGGTAGACAGCACATCAAGGCTAGCCTAGGCAACTTAAGGAGACCCTTAAGTTCAGGGATATAGCACAGTGGTAAAGCCCTCAGGCAGCAAGCAAGAGACCCTAGATTTAGTCCCTCAGCACTGATAGAAAGTCCAGATACAAACTCCAGATACAAAGTTGGTAAGTATTTTGGATCAGTGGATGAAAGTTAAAGTACTAAACATTTGCCTTAGAGGGAAGCGGGTAGAACAGAAAGAACCCTTGTGCCAGCGTTCCATCCTGATGGATCAGCAGGCACCTAAGCACAGGGCATAATTCTGTGTTTGCATCCTGGACTGCAAAAGAGATCTTAACAGGGCACTTGCAGAGTTGAAATCAGGTCTGTAGGTAAGTTAGTAATACTTTAGTATAAATGACCTGATTTTTATACCACAGTAGCCAGGCATGACAGCACATGCCTATAACTTTAGGAGTTCAAGATCAGCCTCTGTGACATAGCAAATTCAAGGCCAGCCTGGGGTACATGAGACCCAGTCTCAGAAAACAAACCAACAAAAAGACTAATTCCTTCCTTGTTGTGTTTTGTTTGTTTTCAGTATGAGGTTTGAATTTAGACTTCCTAATTTTGATCATTACACTTTCCAGAATTGGCAATTTGTGTAAAACTTTAAAACTCTTGCAACTTTTCCATAAGGTTGAATTTTTTTTTTAACAAAGAAAACATGTATGTATACATGTAGTCCTGTGGCACATGACTTTCAGTCACCAGGACCATGTAGTCCCATGGTCTTGTACCACATAGTGATGTGGTCTTCATTGCATGCGTGCACTCTGCTGTTTACACAGTGACACTTGTGACTGTGTGTTTCTCATGACTGTACATGTTTCTGTGACTGGACAAGACATGAGGAAAACCTTGCTTCCTGTGCTTGTGCCAGCTGGTAACCTTTTCTTAACGAATATTGGATGTACACTGTTGCTCTTTTATGAACTTGGGTGGCTTTGAGTTTCCTCTGTAATCTTCCTTGTTTGTCTGCAGAGACCCTGCAGACATGTCTTCAGAGAGTGACAGTGCCATGACCTCCAGCATGGTGAGCAAACTTGCTGAGGCCCGGAGGACAACTTACCTCTCTGGAAGATGGGTCTGTGACGACCACAATGGTGACACCAGCATTAGCATTACAGGCCCTTGGATTAGCCTCCCAAACAATGGGGACTACTCTGCCTATTACAATTGGGTAGAAGAGAAGAAGACAACCCAAGGGCCTGGTGAGAAGCAAAATATTGTTTGAAGATATCTTTGTATTTTGTGAGGTAGAGTTTTCATGGCAAAGTGAGCAGTGTGCAGTTGGGTGTGGTGCATGCACAGCACTCTTTAAGCATGAGCTGTGTAGTTGTAAACATTCTCCTCATCCCAGATGACAGGCACACTGTGCAGGTGCCATACATCCCCTCCCCTCTTCCCCAGCTCTAGGAGGCAATAGATCATCTATCCTTGACAACTCAGGAGTGAAATCATGCATTGTGTAGTTTTTTGTTTTTTTCTTCTGCTTTCTTTCATTTAGCCTTCTTTTACAAAGTTCATATGGCATGTTAGTTTTTATGGCTATTATTCCATTGTTTGGATATACCACATTGTATATCACTTGATAGAGTGATGCTTTTTCACCTTTAGGGTTAATATTAATTCATATAAAAAGACATAATTAGATCAATTCCGGTGATTCATGCTTATTATCTTAGCATTTGGAAGGCTGAATCATGAGGATTGTCCAGTGTTCAAGGCCAGCTTGGACTGTATAGCCAGACCTTATCTCTTTAGGTAGGAAGAAAGGGAGGGAAAGGCAAAGGGGAAAAACTCCTATTTATAGAAGTGTATCATGCCCTTTGTATTTTGGCTTTGGTTTATAGATAGCTTTGAACTATTGGAGTACTAAATGGAAGTTGAAATGCCCCTACAGTTTGGCTTGTATGGAGAAGAATGGCCCATTTAGTCATTCAGCATGTATTTTGAGTTGGACATTACTGGAGACTCTAGGAGTGTTAAGTTACTTATTAAAACTAACCATCCCAGGCTGTAAAGAAATGGAGAAGGGCGGGTGCTAAGAGAACAGCCAGCAGATTTTGGGGTAGGGCAGAGGTACAATGGAAGGGACAAGCACACCTTTAATCTTAGCACTTGGGCGGCAGTGGCAGGTGGATCTTTGTGTTCGAGGTCAGCCTGTTCTCCAAGGCTGAGCTTCAGGACAGCCAGAGCTATATAGAGAAACCCTGCTTGGAAAACAAAACAACAAAAGGAAAGGCCTTTCTGAGGAGGTGACATTTGAGTTAGACTTTACTGGAGATCAAGCCCAGATCAAGCAAATGCCTGATCATAAGCTGTAGCCTAGCCCTTGTCTGTTTAAAAAAGATTTATTTTTTAACTGTGTACCTGTGTGTCTGTGTGAATGTATATACATGAGTGTGGAGGCCAGAAGAAGGTTTCAGATCACCCTGGAGTTGGGGTTACATACAGTCGTGAGCCATTCAGCACTTGTGCTGGGAACTGAACTCAGGTCCTCTGGAAGAGCAACAAGCACCCTTTTTTTTTTTTTTAATGATAATTTTTTAAATTTAATTTTGAACCAAGCTTGTTTTACATGTCAATCCCAGTTCCTGACCCTCCTCTCCTCCTCTGTCCTCCCATCAAACCTCCCCCCCTTCCCATCCCCCTTTTGCTCCCCAGGGAGGGTGAGGCCTTCCATGGGGAATCTTCAAAGTCTGTCATATCATTTGCAGCAGGGCCTAGGTCCTCCCCCATGTGTCTAGGCTGAGGAATTATCCCTCTGTGTGGAATGGGCTCCCAAAGTCCATTTGTATACTAGGGGTAAATACTGATCCACTACCATAGGCCCCATAGACTGCCCAGTCCTCCTGACACCCACTTTCAGGGGTTCTGGGTCAGTCCTATGCTGGTTTCCCAGCTATCAGACTGGGGTCCATGAGCTCCCCCTGCAACAAGCGCTCTTAACTGCTGAGCCACCTTTCCAGCCTCCTTATCCTCCCCCTTGGTTTTTAAGGCAGGGTCTCATCTAGCTCAGGCTGGCCTCAGACTTCTGATTCTCTTCTTTCAGCCTCCCATTGTTGGCATTAGCAGATAGGAATCACCACAGTTTGGTCATTAATTGTTATATGACACATTGCCAGACCCAATCAATCTAGACCTTAATTCCATTTATGCTTGGCTTATTCCAGACTGTTTGTGTCTGACCATGCACCATGCAGTAAGAGTGAAAGCTAGTATCATTAATGTAACTATAAAACTGTAAATGAAAAATCTCAGTTCCTTGATATTTGTTCTAATGTATAGGTACTTTGTGACTTTTGTGTCCCTTCTCAGACATGGAGCATAACAACCCTGCCTACACTATCAGCGCTGCGCTTTGCTATGCCACTCAGCTGGTCAACATTGTGTCTCACATACTTGATGTCAATCTTCCTAAAAAGCTGTGCAACAGGCAAGTAATTAAGGAGATAGTACCGTCTTCATCATGGATTTGTCGTGTTCCTAGTGTGCCCTTACACTAGCTAAGAGAAGGCTTAATAGAAATACTGGTATTTTCAGAAGATGTTGCCAGTTTCATTGTGTTACAGTCATGCTTGAAATCTGAAGAGTCCACTGAGAACCCATCTGGTTCTTGGGGAAATAAGCAAGGGAAGAAACAGGGTATGCAGGGAGGGTGCTGCAGCCTCTGTGCACTGAGCTGAGTACATTTTGACAGGGTGGAGACTGGGCAGGTTGTTTCATTCTTAGGAAAACCTCATGTTTACATTATTACTATTACTATTATTATTTATTATTTTTTTTAATGTTCTCTCCCACCCCCCAGTCATGGTTTCTCTGTGTGGTCCCATCTATCCCAGAACTCACTCTGTAGATCAGGCTGTCTTCAAACTCACACTTGCCTGCTTCTGCCTCCCCAGGTGCTGGGATTAAAGGGGTGTGCCACTAGTGCCCAGCCTCATGTTTAAATTTTTTTTTTTCCTTTTATGTTTTTTGAGACTGTTTCTCTGTGTAACAGCTCTAGGTGTCCTGGAACTCACTTTGTAGACCAGACTGGACTTGAACTCACAGAGATCCACCTACCCCCTTTTGGGATTAAAGGCATGTGTCACCACCGCCAAGCTTCATGTTAATTTTTTTTTTTTGTTTTTGTTTTTGTTTTTGAGACAGGGTTTCTCTGTGTAATAACCCTGGCTGTCTTGGAACTAGCTGTGTAGACCATGCTGGCTTTGAACTCAAAGGGCCTCTATATCCCTAGTGCTTGGATTAAAGGCATGCACCACCACCCCCGGCCTCAGGCTTAAATTATAAAGACACAGAGACATAGTCTACACACTACACATTTAGAGCTCTCACCCTCTATTTATCCTGCATTTCTGGCAAATGTAAACCTTTTACCACTGGACAGTTAGCAGGCTATACTTAAGGGATTTTTTTTTTTTTTTTTTTTTTAAATGGTCTCATCATACAGCCCAGGCTGGTTTGGCCTGGAGGCTTCGACTGCCTTATAGTCTGGTTGCTGGGCTTTTAGGCATGTGTTCAAGTAATTAACAGCCAGAATTTACGATGGTGACAAGTGCATGTGGAGATCATTAAGGCCAGGAGGGCATGTGTTACTTTTTCCTTCTTTTCTTTTTTTTCTTTTTGTACTGGGGAATTGAACCCAGATGGGCAAGTGCTTTTCTACTGAACTGTATCCCTAGCTCAGGGCATGAAGGAGGGAGGGAACAAGCCATAGATGGGGACCCTAAGGAAGAAAGCTGCTGGCAAAGAAGGTACAAAGTTCCGGGAGGCGGAGGCAGTAGAGATGAAGAGGAACACACATGTGCCCCATGGATCCATGTAATTTTCAGCTGTCATTCTGCACAAAGTAGGTGGTGGTTGAGTTTTCCCTTACTCGCATTCCTGTTGATGCTTCCTAAAATGGGCTCCCACAGGTATCACTTCCATAGCATTCCTGTTTGTGTGGCATGGAATGAGCTCCTGAGACAGAGTTGCTTAGTCACCCAGGAACATGCATTTGCAGTTTTTGTAGATGCTGGGAACTGCTCCCCATCAGGGCAGTAGTTCAGTACTTAGGAAGTGTCTGTTTCAGGCAGTTTACTAAGGAGGAAGAATGTACAGGGCTGCTGCTAAACTGTGGTTAAGACATAACCTTCAGCAGGAATGTTTTATTATAGACCTTCCTCAGGGAACAATGTAAGAAATCGTACCCTTGTCTTGCAGTGAGTTCTGTGGGGAAAACCTCAGCAAACAGAAACTAACTCGGGCAGTGAGGAGACTGAACGCAAACATCCTTTACCTGTGTTCCTCTCAGGTATGAGCCCTGTGCTTTGAATTCATTTTTAATTTGCTGTGTATTTGAAAGTATTAATCAAGCATTTGCTTTTCCTAGCATGTGAATTTAGATCAGTTGCAACCACTGCATACACTCAGGAACCTAATGCACTTGGTCAGCCCACACTCCGAGCACCTAGGCAGGTGAGTTGTATGTATGGCTTTTCTCTAATCGTTTTTCTCTGTGGCTGCTTTTAAGTAGCACCAGGGCACACACTGGCAAGTATCTGGTGTTCCCCAAGTCCCAAATTCTCTGGCAAGGACATAAGTTATACAGTACTGTGCAGGAGGCAGTTGATCATACATGGTCTTTTACTATCCTTTTGCAGTTTTTTCTGAGAGAAAGTTGCAATAGAGTACAATTAGCATGTGACATGTAGTAGAGCAGACTCCATGCCCTGGACACCACCTTGTGCTTTTCTTGAACCTCACTTATTTCTTTTCTGACTTGCCTCTGGCAGCTGTGCAGTCTTCTCTGTGTTTTCCTTTGTGCTTGCATATCCTGTGTCTATGGAATTTCTTTTCATTACCAAGTTAATATGGTCACCATTAGTTAAAAGTAGGGAAATTTCATAGAATGAGCTGGCTCGAAAGTCATCTGCTTCAAACCAGAATCAGTAACAACAAACCACACCCTCTCCATGGTTTGTACCGACCTTCTCTACCGTCTGCTCTGGATAACTTTAGTCACAAGAGCACAAACCAGACAAGGCTCATCTTTGTACCTGCTCTAGGCTCTGACCCATGTCCTTGCTGTCATGCATATATGCATGTGTTTTTGTAGAGGGGGATATAGCAGATGTGTCTACACTTTGGAAAATGGGCTTTTATTAGGTGATTTTGCTCAAACTATAGACTAATGTTGTAAGCCCTCTGAGTGTGTTTAAGTTAGATTACACTAAATGTTGTTGTTTGTTACTATAGTATATTAGAGTTTTTGAGCTGGCTGAGGTGGCAGATGCCTGTAATCTTGCCACTCAGGAACTGAGGAAGAGGACTGAAAATTAAGGCCGGCCTGAGCAGCTTAGTAAGTAAGGTCTTGTCTTAAAGGGGGCAGGTGTATGCTGAGTTACAGTAAAGCACGAACCTAGCATGTGCAGTACTTAAAAGATTTGTTTGCATTTTTGACTCATTATATTTTCAACTCTCAAGTTTCTGTGGAAAGAAACAATGAGGTTTTATTTGGCACACATTTCTTGAATGGCTTGGTACTGGATAAGGAATAGACTGGAAGAAGCAGGTCTGAAGCAGTGAAATCCTTCATCATTTTCTCAGCTAAAGATGTGCCACATCTTCCCAAAAGGAAGACTGGTGACAATTGCAGCAGGTACTTCAGAGTTTTGACAAACTGATTCCAAAGTTCACCCCCAAACCTTTGGCAGCAAGGATCGAGTAAGAAATAATGAGGGCTGGCCCCTTTCCAAACAGGGTATATAAAGTTAATTTTTTTGTTATTGTTGTTGTTTTTGGTTTTTTGAGACAGGGTTTCTCTGTGGCTTTGGAGGCTGTCCTGGAACTAGCTCTTGTAGACCAGGCTGGTCTTGAACTCACAGACTCTATCTGCCTGCCTCTGTCTCCCGAGTGCTGGTAAAATTAAATTTTTTTTTCAAGTTAATTTTTAAATGGTGTTTTTGAGGAAGGTGGGGCAGTGGCATAGTAAAGGAGTAAAGGTGCTTTGCCAGACTTGGATTTCCCTGCCCCACATGGTGGGAGGACAGAAGCGACCCCCAAAATTGTACTATGACTTCTACTTGCTTGCTATGGCATGCCCACCCCCAGTAATATAAACAAAAGATAAAAATGTTTGTATCATCTCAGTATTTGGGAAACTGAGGTAGAAGGTTTATGACTTTGAGGCCAATCTGGGTCTACATAGTAAGATGTACTGTCAAATACTAATCTCCAGTCATTAAGAAAGATGCTGTTAGCATATAAGAAGAGATCCAAGTCTTAAAGCAAATCATGTTCTTACAGGACTGTTTCATCTCCCTGCTGAATCAGATGATCATAGTTAATAGTGTTGGGTTAGTTGGAATTCAAGTAAGGAAGAAGTTGGTTTTTTATTATATTTTGTATACAAAAACAAGTTCCAGAAATAAAAGATCCTGTTTTTAAATAATATATAAAAGACCTAGCTGGGCGGTGGTGGCACAGGCCTTTAATCCCAGCACTCAGGAGGCAGAGGCAGGCGGATCTCTGAGTTTGAGACCAGCCTGGTCTACAAGAGCTAGTTCCAGGACAGCATTCAAAACCAAAGAGAAACCCTGTCTCAAAAAACCAAAAACAAGAGAATAGAAAAACAATGAGACCTAAAAGACCTACATACATTCCTATGCAGGAACTAACTGACTCTATCTAGTAAGGAAGGCCCTATATATAATATACAGGTTTGCAACATCTATAATAATGAGCAAATCAAATCTGTAGTAGGTCAGTCTTTTGGTCTGTAAGGGAAAAACAAAGGACTCAAGAAACTAAAGAACAAACTTTATAGAAGAAAGGAATGCGTTATGCCCAGCTTATGCAGCCCCTCTGTGTGCTCACAGGTCAGGACCTTTTGAAGTGCGAGCAGACCTTGAGGAGTCAATGGAATTTGTAGACCCTGGAGTTGCTGGAGAATCAGATGTAAGTGGAGACGAGCGTGTAAGCGACGAGGAGACTGACCTGGGCACAGACTGGGAGAACCTGCCAAGCCCCCGATTCTGTGACATCCCTTCCCAGCCAGTGGAAGTTTCCCAGAGCCAGAGCACCCAGGCATCCCCACCCATAGCCAGCAGCAGCGCTGGTGGGATGATCTCCTCTGCTGCAGCCTCGGTGACTTCCTGGTTCAAAGCTTATACTGGACACCGCTAATAAGTGTAGACCAGAACATGAAATCTTTCCCACTGCACTCTAATAACCTTGTCTGTAGTTACCAGAGAGGCTAACCTAGCGTTAGGGCAGCACATATGCCTGTTGGGTGGCCTGTGATGGTGATAGACATGCTCAGGATCTCTGCCAGCTCTGAGCTTGTGGCCTCCTGGACAGCTGGTCCTACCCTTTATACCTGTCAGTGTGCTGGTTCCTGGGATGCTGAGAGTCTTCCCGACACAAGTTCTAGACTTTATCAGTTCACGAGGAAGTGTTTCTTAGTGGTGAGGAATGAAAGACAAAAGCCGAGTTTGTTTTTCTGTTGTCTTTTTGAGAGACTTTCCAGCCACAGTTTTAGTCTTATTGGGGAGGCGGTTATCTGGGGGAGGGGAGGAGGTGAAAGCTTATTGCTGTCACCATGCATCACATTCCTGATTTTTCTACCACACACCAAAGAAACCATGGACTTTATTCTACAGACCCACACCCATGAAGGGGAGAATCCTAGCTTCGATGTATAGAAATGTCTAAACAGTTTTCTTGTACTCGGAGGAGAAATAAGTTGATTCTTGTGTAAGTCATTGGAGTTACTGTACTGCACTCATTTTAAAGTGGGACTTGCCCCCTTCGTCATTCCCTATATGAGCTAAATGCTGCCTGGGCACTGTTTGAACACTGTCATTCTCTTGCTGTCCAGTTTCTTGGAGGTGGGTGTTAACTAGTATCAGGTGTTCCCGGGAAACCCCCCCTGCTTGTTCCTGGGGTCTCCGAGGCTCTGGAGGCAGCACATTGTGTGGAATGTGGAGTACTGTGCAGCTGTACCAGGAATGCTCAAGGACAATCTTACAGACAACTGTCACAAGAGGCATTATGTTCAAGTTTGTAAGTAGTTCTTTTTTTAGTTTTAATAACTTCAAAAAAGAAAGAAGTCCTATGTAACAGACCACAGAAATCCTGTGAAGAAGCGCCCTTCCAGGTGGTGGTGCCACACCTTTCTAGCGTGACTGGTGTGATGGTACCTCAGGCAAAGTCCTTCAGCAGTTTGTCCAGCCCTCGTTTCTGGTTCCTGCTGTTAGAGTTGATACTTTGCAGACTGAGGTGCTATAGAGCTTCTGCTGTTGGTAGACTTGTAGAAAGGACTTTACTCCTATCCAGGAGCCCCATGGTCCCTAACTCTAACTCCAGATCCTCCATCTGGGGAGGAGGCAGCTTCCCTCTTGCAGGTGTTCATCTGGCTGGAGTCTGTTCTGCTCAGCTTCATAATTGTTGGGCTTGCATTTTGCCCTCTAGTTCTAGAGTTTGTAGACTAAGTCTGGTGGAATGAACCGAACCAGCTGAAAAACACCATGAGCTTCAGCTGAAGCTACAGATAGTGCAGAGGTCACAACTCATGTCTACAACCATTAATGAAAAAGATGCAGGAAGTGTAGGGTTGACGGGGTATTTTGTTTCTAGTATCAAATAGAGGCACTTTTGTCACTTTATGTCATAGTAAATGGTGGCCCTAGGCTGCAGAAATGCTTTGAGTTTCATTGTGTTGCACTGGATCCACGTGTTGTGAATAGTCTTAAATACACATTTCAACCACTGTTTTCCCATACTTTTTGCTGCTCATCAAAACCTTTGTTGTAAACAGCTTTTTGAAAAGATGAAGCTGGTATTTTTTTTTTAAACCAAAAGCCATAGAAGTTGGTCATATTTTCCATTTTAAAATGGTTTATTGAAACAAGGTAATACTAATAGAAACTCAGAGGCACCATGTAGGCTGCTTTAAAGAATCTCATAAAACACCCATAAGTAATTGAAGAGAACCAATAGTGTAACTTCCTGGAGAGACTATAAGTCAGTATGGTATGGTGGACAGCATTGGGCGAGGATTCGGGTGTGCTTTGGGAAAGAGCTGCAGCATCACACCCCCGTGCTGCTGTGTCTGAGACTTCCAAGTCAGGGTGAGTCACACACGTTTTCTACTCTTTTATTGTATTACTGCAATAAATTCTTTAACAGTACTTTGCTATGTGTGCCTTTTCCTAGTCACTATTATTTCTGCTGCTACATTTAGTTAACGAGTGCAAGCTAACCCTGGAGTACTTCATATAAATTAAAGAATAGTAAAAGATTTTTTTGCTAGGTAAGAAATTTGTTTTTAAAATTACTGATTATGGGGCCTTTAATAATGATGGCCCATTGTGGCAAACAGAACATAGTTGCTGATCAGTTATGTATTTCATTCTCTAAAAGATGTATTTTTCTTTGATAGCTACCTATTACCTTGGTGCTTGATTTGGGGAAGAGTGGGCCTCTGAGATGCTGACATGGAACCTGCTCACCCCTTTCAGGACAAGAGAGAAAATGTTAAGAGGACTTTTCAAGCCAAGAGGAGTCTGCTAGCCTTGGAAATCCTTTTTGTAATTAATCTCTCAGATGGGCACCAATAGTTTCTGGGTAATGGGGGATAAGTGACTGCAGTGAACAGTTTGGGCCCTCAGGAAGGACACTGAAGGGTTAGTCATGCCTATTCATTGCTTTCCCTGAGATGGAAGACTCTTAAAAGTGTGTGTGTGTTTCAGAGTTCTTGCCTTTCCATTTTCCTAGATAGCAGCCAGAAGCAAGTTTCCATGTAGCCTACAAAGGAAAGGGGAGGCTTCTCATTCACAGTTACATTTGTCTGGTGCAGGAAGTGAGGCAGATGGGAAGAAAAGGATAACTTCCCGGTAGGTAGAAGTGCTTCAATAAAATGTGACAGGAAGTTTGAACCTAGGCTTGGGTGTGACATCTGAGCACCATTACCTCCATTCAAGCATCTGGTGAGAAAATTGTCTGTAAAGGTTTTTACTCATAGCATTAAGTAGATTGAAAGTGAATATTTTGGAAACAAAAAACCACCAGGGTGGCAAACTTAATTTTAAAAATTATTTTGTGTGCATACATGTGTGGATGTCAAGTGACAACGTGTTTGAGTCTTTCTCATTCTCCTATGTCCCAGGGGTTGAACTCAGGTCAGCAGACCTGGTGAGTGCTTCCATCCATCCACTGGGCCACCTTGGCAACCTAGGGCAAATTTCTTGAAGAATTAAAATGGTAATTCAGCAAGAGCCACATTAAAATGTCATCGTGTTTGTAGGACAGAGTACAAGACACTAGGATGTGAGAGGGGTTCTCGTGGAAACTTTTAATATATTTAAAATTTAAGAAATTGAGGCTGGAGAGATGGCTTAGAGGTTAAGAGTGCTGGCTGCTCTTCCAGAGGCCCTTAATTTAGTTCCCAGCACCCACATGGTGATTCATAACCATCCTAACTCCATCCAGGGGGTTGAGGGCCTTCTCTGCCTTCTGTGGGCATCAGGGATACATGCACTGCAAATATCTGGATGCAGGCAAAGCACTTATACACATTAAATAAGTCTTAGACACCATTTTTTTGTTTGTTGTTTCTGTTTTTGAAACAGTCTCACTGTGAAACCCCGGCTGGCCTGAAACTTGTGATGTAGACCAGGCTAACCTCAAACTCACAGAGATCGACCTGCCCCTTCCTCCTGAGTGTTGGGATTAAAGGCGTCTGCCACCATGCCCAAGCTATAAGGTTTTTTTTTTTTTTTTTTTTTTTTCTTCAAAAGCCAAGAAATTGACTGGAGGTTCAAGGTCTGATGAGAATGTGCTGGGGCCAGTTGAGAGAACACTCTTTAGTGAAGACTCTCCCAGAACCCACATCATCATTCCATACTCCCCTCATCTTTGAATGTGGTGTTTTAACATTTATCATGACTTCCAAAGACACCCAGATGTTGAGGAAAGAACTTGCCTACACTTGTTTAGTAGTGCATTTTCCTAACTTTAAAAGGATTCTGAAGACATTCTGAGGGTATAAACAAGCATATGCATAGCTCTTGGTTTGGATAATTGCTACCTGATTTGGCAGCAGTAGCCAGAAGGTGTCAGCAGTAACATTTGATGAGCAGTTGAGGAGAGGCGGTCTAGTGTTGATAGGGAAGCATGTTTTCTTGTGGGTATGTATGGTGATGGCATCAGGGAATTGTCTCCTTGATGGCCTTAGAGAAAGATCCTAAGAGCTTCAAGCTTGCACTGCACCGGGCATGCCCAAGATGCTTGCTCTCACATTCCTCACTTCTACTGGTATGAGCCTCTAACTGCAAAATCAGCATCACCTGGGAACTTGCTAGAAATTCTGCATGTGGGGCACTCCCTCGAATCCACTAAATCACAACCTTCCCTTCTACACATCTGTGTACTGTTTAAGATCAGTCGAGTAGAGCTGCTTGGTCAAGGGGAAGTAAAATGTCTGCAGTGATTTGTGCATGGCCTCATTAAAGTAATGGCCTATTCTGAAATTGGAATATCTAAGTACTGAGGGCCTCTGGGAGAGCCTCAAGATTTAGGCAGTAAGTTCCTTCTTCCCAGGCACAGAGGGAGAATATTATGAAGTAGCCCTTAAGAGACTATGTTGGGAAGGTCTGATACAATGACTGCAGCCCTGCTTCATGTATCCCACACAGGGCTTTCTTGGGTTATCTTTTTCATTTGCCCCTTCAGGCTCATTCCTTCTTGCTCAGTAGCCAGGGCATTAATTTTTGATGCCTTCCTGCTCCATCCCATCTATTTGTTATTCCTTCCCATGCCTATGAGCCCTCAGACCCATCAGTGTATACAGAACCCTTAGTTCTGTCAAACATACCTTGTGAAGCAAAGCTGCCACCTTGGACTTACCTAGGGACTCCCAAAGGTGATAGTTAAAGGATGAGGCTTGAGCTTTGTCCTCTGTGGAGAAGTGTTTGGCTAGGTGTGGTGTCTATGCCTGTATTCTTAGCACTGGGAGGCAGAGACAGGTGTATCTATCTGAGTTGGAGGTTACATCACATCAGACTAACCTCCAACTCAGATGTGATGGTTTGAAAGGAAATGGCCCCCAAAGGGAATGGCACTATGAGAAGGTGTGGCCTTGTTGAAGTGTCCTGTGGAGGTGGGCTTTGAGGTCTGTTGCTCAAACTACTCCCAATGAGATATGCCTGCATCCCAAGATGTAGGACACTCAGACTTCTCCAGCACCATGTCTGCCTGCATGTCACACCATGATAATGGACTGAGCCTCTGAAAATGTTAGCCGCCCTAATTAAATGTTTTTACTTAATGAGAGTTCCTGTGGTCATAGTGTCTCTTCACAATGGAAACCCTAAGATACCTAGTCTATATAGTGATTTCCAGGACAGTCAGGGCTACTAGTGAGTCTCAACAAAACAAACCTTGAAGTGTTGTTGGTGTCTTTGTGTAGAAGACAGAAAGGGGCAGTGGTGGTAGATGGGCTGAAGGTGGGTTTTTGGTCTTTGCCCAGGATTTGGCAAATATTGGTGATGGGTACAGCCCTATATCCACACCCTTATAAATACATGAACTTGTTCATTTCCATAGTGTAGTAATTTGTTCTTCAGAATCTAGTTAGGAGGCTCAAGAAGGCCAGTGCCAAGACTGCTAGCCATGGAAAAGGCCACAGGTCCCAGTTTGAACCTCAGGACAGCCAGCCTCTCATCTCTGCTTGGGAGGGAAAATAAGGTCAAAGTAGAGCCAATGACTGCACTCACTGCAGCCACTCTGAGAGGACTGGAAGGAGGAAGGATAGTGTGAAGGCTAGAGGTCCCAGAATAAAGAAGGCTGGTTAGCCAAGCTTGGCTCCATTCCTACCAAACTGTAGACACAGCTATGCAGATAGGTCATGTGATGCACATGTGGCAGGAAAAACATTGCATTAGATACAACCTCCCATCTTTCTGATTGTATCTGGACATCAATGTCCTCCATAATGGAGACCATTATCAGGTCTTAAGCCTCAGGGCTTTGACTTTTGTGGTTCAGTGTGTGCAGAAGAGAAAGGAGGGAGGTCATTTAAAGGCACAGCAGATTGTATGCCCTGCTGTTGCTGCTTCAAGCCCTGGCATAGTGCAGACACCAGCCATAGCAGTTAGCCTTCCCTGGCCAACATGACATCGTATGCACTGTTAATAGCTGCCTTCGGCCAAGTGGTGGGCACCATATTTTCAAGAGTAATTTTGGGCATGTGCCACTTTCCCTTCAGTGCTTTCCTGAGAATGTAGTTCCCATGTGTATCATTTCAAAGAGGAAATGTTCAAGGGTCTTTTGATTTCAAATCTCAAAATATGGTTTGAGCTTGGAATGATGGCACATCCCTGTGATGTCAGCCCTATCTTTGAAAAGTCAGGGCCAGGCAATGATGGTGCACCACTTTAATCCCAGCACTCTGGAGGCAGGTGGATCTCTGAGTGTGAAGTGATGAATTCCAGGACAGCCAGGACTACATAGAAAAACCCCATCCTGGGCTGGAGAGACTCTTCTAGAAGTTCAGAGTTCAATTCCCAGCAACCACATGGTGGCTCACAACCATCTGAAATGAGACCTAGTGCGTTCTTCTGGCCTGCAGGCAGGACACTGTATACATAAATAAATAAATCTTAAAAAAAAAAAAAAAAAAAAAAAAAAAGGAAGACTCGGTCTGGGGGGGGGGGGGATATGAATAGGCTAACCCAGCATTGAGCATTGAAAAGGCTGAGGCAGAATGACAGGTTAAGGTCAACCTGAACAACTTGGAATTCTATCTCAAAAACGCAGCAGCCAAGCTTGAAAGGGCGCAGGGTGCAGCTTAGTGGAGACCCATCTACCCAGCCTGGCTCTGGATTGGACTTCTACTACCAGAATAGGGAGGAAAAAAGATATCTTTTGGAGACTCCCTTCTCTGTCCTCCTTAATGTGGATGCCAGGCTCATACAGCAAAGCACCTTTCCAGAAGACCTTCTTGCCAGCTCTCATTGGCTTTAAGTAGGTCTCCTCCCTTCCACAATGATGCCATCTCTATGCCATTCCAGTTCTATTCCCAGCTCCTAACTATTGACTCTGCTCACCTCAAATAACAAGGCCAAGGGGGCTGCTCCATTGAGGTTCTGCTCTAGGAGCTAGGCACAACTAGACATGGGGCACAATGTTTACTCTTCCATGAGGCTTTGCAAACATCAGCTATGGCTAGAAACTTCCATAAAGCTAGGAGTGCTGTGTACACCAGAAGATATGGTGTACTTCCCACACTTCAAATACTAGCCCGTTTGAACCCAAAGGAAGGAAACAGACTTGAAACGATAGAATTCTACTATGTGCACAATAGTTACAGGACTTGGTACCTGATATGCAGTAGATGTCAGTTCATTATTGGCACTTTTCAGTTTGAGGAAGGGCTTAGTGTCAAGTGATTCTATCTTGTTTATGTGAAGCAGTCTGGGGGGGGAGGGAAGACAGGCGGTCTACTGAGCAAAGAAATAGCAACAGTTGATGTACAAAGAGCTGGTAGTACATAAAAACTGTCTTAAGATGGCCTCAGAATGCTAACAGGCATGGAAAGTACACACGACAAAGGTGACTAAACAAAGCCCAACGGAACCCCAGGGGCCAGGCTGTAAGCACCTGCCCACAGCAGGCTGCTGGCAGCACTAGTCTATAGCAAGTATCTGTACATTGGATTCAAAACAAAACTAACTCCTGTAGGAGCTTCTCTAGACAAGCGTCTTCCCCTGCGATATCCTATGTCCAGAGGCAAAGGTCCTTTAAATTCCCTTCAGGATTTCATAGAAACTATGGAATGAGCCAGTGTCGCCCAAACCTGTCAGCACTATGAAGCTAGGTTTGGGGATACATGCCTATAATCTCAAATACTCAGAAGGCTAACCTGGACTGCCTGAGACCATGCTCTCCCCCCCCAAAAAAAAATAGTGAAAAGGGTTGGGAATTTGGCTCAGCTATAGAGAGCTTGCTGATCAAACATGGGTTTCAAACATACTATGATGTGTATACCGTATGAGGCAAGTTTCCTTTGGCTGGGTAGGATAGGGGAGGACCCTGGAGTGTTTCTGTCATGATCCTTCAGTGTGATGCAGGAAGGGAGCACCATGTCGACAGGAATAAGGTGAGCCATTTTCCTGGGGGCTCAGAAAATATGGTTCATTAACATTGGCTGCTCTCCCAGAGGACTAGGGTTCAGTTTCTAGTACCTACAGGACAGCTATCAACTATGTAACTCCAGTTTTAGGGGACATATTGCCATCTTTTGACTTTCACAGACATACATGCAGGCAAAACATATACATAAAATCTTAAAACCAAAACCAAAGCATGGGTTATTTCTCCATTCGACACTAGAGGGCCACATAAATCTTTCTCCAAAAGCAGCATTACATTCTGGCAGTAGGGACCAGCATTGGTGCCTTCCAACACCACCAACAAAAGCCTCTGTTCAGCTCTGGTAACCTGTCCTGCCACAGGTCAAATTGCACCATCTATTTTTGAGGTAATGCTAAGTGGCATGGGGCCATCCTGTGTCCCTGCTGTCAGTCAGCCCAGTCCCACACACAGCTGTGTAGCTTGTGATAACCAGGTTAGAAATGCTGACTCATGAAAACCAAAGTTATTTATCCTGTACACCCATGGGGGAGAACCATGGCCAGCAATGGATGAACACACAGAGCATGAGGCACATCACACACCCTTGTCGTCCTGTGTGTTATATCCTTTAATCCCACATTATGAGGGATTAAACAACAAACTTTTTGGACACTGATTGCCAGTTTGGCTCAAACCAACAACAGATGTCTTGAAGACAAGTTGTTCTCAGCCTGATGCTTCAGGCCAGCATAGCATGGCCCATTTGACAGGGGGTGGCTTCCCTGGCATGGAGTCACTTTGTAGTTTCAGCCTGCTCTCAGCAGTTATTGCTAAGGATAAAAGAAAAACCTAAACCAGAGAGATGGCTCAGCAGTTAGGAGCCAAAGACCCAAGTTTGGCTCCCAATACTCTGTTACTACTGTAATTCCAGATGTAGGGCATCTGACACCTTCTGGTGTGCAAGAACAAGTGCACTCGCTTGTGTACACACACACACACACACACAGAGTCTTTCACTACATTAGTTTGAAGCCACTCTGCCCTCTGGCCAACACAGTAAAGCTGGCTCTACCTAGATGTCCTCCTGGCCAAATTTGTATCCTATTTAAGGTAACAACTGCCCTTTGCTTTCCGATCACTCACCCACATTTATCATCCTGTCCTCCCTGCAACTTACCGTAATAACAAGATTTCTGTGTGTGTGTATGACTTCTGACTTTTGGGTTGTTTTTGTATTTTGATTTTACAGCCCCAACTCTTGGGGGCTCAGGATTCCCCAGCTTTATTGAGCATCACATGTCCATAAGTCTGAAAATTCTCAATGGCTTCTAAGTGACTTCTATGGACAAGTTGTGAGAATTCCTTGGATATTACTTAGTTATACAGGGAATATGTTAATACTAGACAAATTCAAAATGCTAAAAGGTCATAAAATTTTAAACCTAATTTAAGGGAGGATGACGCTGTCATAGATAAACACTACCCTCCCTTTTTAGTAGCGTTTATGTTTGAAATCTGTTAATCCAGGAATGCCTCAGGCTCGGCAGTGCTCTTGCCTTGTCCCAGAGTTCTGGGATTGCAGGCACGAGCCACCACAAACAGCTTCAAATCAAAGCTTTAGAAGGTCCTTAACAAGCAGGCTGGAGAGGTTGCACCACAGTGAAGAGCACCAGCTGTTCTTCCGGAGGAAGGTTTGATTCCCAGCAAACATATGAGGGCTTACAACCCACTCTAACTCCAATTCCAGGGCATCTAATGCCCTCTCTTGGCCTCTTCAGGCACTTGGCAAGCATGTGGTGCATATATTCATGCAGGCAAAAATATCCATACACATCAAAGTTTGGTTGTTTGTTTTGTTTTGTTTAATTACAACTGAATTTGTAAGTACCTTCAAAAACCTCACATTCAGGAGCTGGAGAGAGGATTTTGGCAGAAGAATCGGGTTCAGTTTGTTGGGTAGACTGTAACTCAAGCTCCTGGGTAGAGGATCTGGCACCTTTGTCCCCTAGGGTGCTTGTACGCAAAAGCAAGCACATGCACACGTAAAATAACTCTTTGGGCCGCATGGCTCAGCAGTTAAGAACATGTTGCTCTTGCAGAGACCCAGATTTGGTTCCCAGCAGTTTCAGAGGGTCCAAAACTACCCACATTTACACACAAAATCTTAAAAAGATTATATCCCACCCCTTCCCCCCAAATCTTTGTAAACTCAGGCCCCATTTAAAATGTGCATTTTTATTGAAGATTTTTTAAAAAATTTTTCTTAACCGGACAAAATGATGGACAATGTTTTGACTATTATATGATATTGTCTTACTCTGTGGTGATTATGTTCAGTCAACTGTCCATAATATACATTACTGGATTTTCATCACGTTATTTACAGAGGGGCCAAAGCACTCATCTCCAGGTACAGGCGCTCAGGTTTAATGTGCACTTTCACAGCCCCATGAAAACACAACCATTATATACACTGTAAACACCACAGGGCATAAACTCCACCTGCAAACATCATTCTCACAAAATCAAGCACACAAGGTATAGGTACAGTGCCCAACTTTCTGTTTAGGCATAATTCTCAGAGGCTTTGCTTTCTTTTCCACTCACTCCAAATACAGAGCCAGTACTGGGACATTTTGGGATCCCCTGTGGGGACTGCCTGGTGACCTCTGGATGTCCTTGATGGAGGCAAACAGGCAGAGTTCTTCACAGCTGAAAGGGTTAAATGTGAGGCACCACCATACAAAACCATGGAACTAATCTCATGTACAGCTGGCAAATTAAGTGTTTAAAAACTGCCTGTGCAATAGCAGTCTGGTCTGAGCAGAGACTCCGGAAAGGGTGGGGATGAGGTCACACGCCTCAGGGTTGACCCAGATGTTTCACAGTCCTGCTCCCTCTTATGTGGACTTCAGTATTCCTCTTCCGTTTCGCTCCCTCTTGATTTCTTATGGATTGCCCGATTAAAGCTGTGGCAGGCAGGTAACCAGTGATTGTCATGAAGGCCCAGCTTACAGCCAGGGAAGCCCTTCTGAGACCGGTGGCAGCACATCCAGTACCCAGGCCCATAAGGCAATGCCTGGCAATAGGGTTTGGGGTGCCACCGGCACAGGGACACATCACCTTTCACATACTTTTTCTTGCACTGCTTGCAAGGGTCTTCTCTATAGCGTGGGTCTCGAACCCACCGAGAATCTGCTGGCCTGATGTTGTAGTATTCGATGATGAACTTGAAATAGCGGCAGGTACATTTAAGAACTGCTAAACTCCTGGTGGGGAGTAACCTGAAGATTTTAACCATGATGTGGTGAGGCAGGCATACCATGTATTGCTGAGGCTCCAGAAGTTGCTGGATTTTAAACCTGGTCTCCAGAAAATCCTGAGACACCTGCTTCTTCCAATTGGATGCCTCAAGCACTGGTGATGTACTTTCCACCACAGCAGCTGCTGGGACAAATGGCTCCACAGAAACACCTTTCTCCTCACATACACTGTTGCCCTCAGCAGCATCTTGAGGCCTCCTGGCCTCTGAAGCCTCTTGTGCTGTGTGTTCATTCAACTGGGAACATTCTTGCTGGTCCTTCCCAGGTGAGAGAAAAAACAGCATCCCTGGAAGAGGCTCTTCAAGGGAGTCTAAAGCAGAAGGCTGGTCTTTCTCTACTGTGCACACCGTAATACTGATGCACACAGTTTCTTTTCTCTGATTGGAACTGTGGTTTGTGAGTGGTACAAGTGCTCTGCTCATACAACTGATAGCATCTGTGGGCAATTCAGTGGCTTGAAGACAGGTGTGAGAAGAAAAGGGCAATTCATCAAATTCATCTGTCATTTCTATGTCATGCCTGTTGCAGTTCTTCGCAGCTGTTTGCTGACCTGGCTCTAATTCTGTGCTATCCGTGTGGAAGCTCACGCCTGCTGGCGAGGGACAGCCCTTAGACATAGCATCCCAGACCTGGTCACCCACAGAACAGTGGTCAGCTGTGGAGGGTCCTTCACCCATAGACACTGACTGCATGGGATGTACCTGGGTGTCAGGTACATCTGTGGGGCCTTTTCCATTTTTGTCATCGGCCTGAGCACCATTAGTGAGCAGCACCCTGCCTACATTTCGACGGAAGCTGTTATTCCGTGACAGGGTCCCCGGTTCCCGCTGGCCCTGGTGCTTCAGGCACTCGGACTCCAGCCTGGCTACCATGTCAAGGACACGGACTGGCTCACTCTGTGACCTGCCACCCTCAGGATTTCCTCTTTCCGTGGGTTCTTCACAAGTTCCTGGGGCAGAGAACGGCTCAGATGCAGGTGGCACAGCTCGGGACTGGCCAGTAATCTTCACGATGGCAGTCGAATTTGTGCAGTTTTTCGAACAGTTAGCTAGCAGAGCACTGGCTCTCTGCTCAAGGAAGGCAACCATCTGTATCACCGACAGAGGCCTTCCAGTATAGACACCATCCCCACTGTCACTCACATAATGCACAGAACAGTGCTCAATGCCACATGCAAATGGCTCAGGCTGATAGCACTGGCTGTTGGTTTCTCTCATCCTTTCTAACTGTACCTTGGCTTTCTTAAGATCCCCTGATTTTTTCCTTCTTTTAGTGGCTCTCCCATCGATATCCCAGGAGCTTTTTATTTTCATAGATCCTATCCTATTGCTACACTGGTGGGCTGCAAAGAATGCAATTTTCTCCTTTGTATTTCCAGGCTTGACAATAGCCCAGCTACCAGGCAGTCCTCCTTCTTCACCCTGGTGTACTGTTGCAGACGGCACATTCTTCTTGGCTTTCACATTCAAGCTGTTCTCCACAGGACTCTTCCCACTCATACTGCATAGAACATTTGGAGAAAGGATCCCAAAAGGTTTTCTAGATGTTGCTTTGACAAGGGAGGCTGAAGGAAAGACAGTTGGTTTCATGTAGTTAGCTTTGCCCTTTTCATCACTGACAGTGTTTTGGTGGCTCACAGGTGTTCTTAGAGGGTCCGTGCTGACTTCGAGAGGGCACTCTCTCTTCTGGAGTTTCCAATATGGCTTAAGGTGCATAACAGATGCCCTGGAACAGGAGGGAAGAAAACCGACTTAGATGCAGCTTCTAGCAAGAGAAATTTGTCTTCCCAACTTCTAAAGTTTTTACCAAAAGTCACATTTCAGCTTGTTAGGGCTACTGGTTAACGTAAACGAATCCTTAGGATTGCTCATTTTGTCTTGAAAACAGGAGGGAGAGTTTCACCTAGGCCAGGCTGGCCTATGACTTTCTGATCCTCCTTCCTCCATAATCCCAAGATTAGACTCAGTATTGGGGATTGAACCCAGGACTTTGTAGACACTAAGCAAGTATTCTACCAGCCGAGATTACAATCCCAGCTCTCCTCCTCCCATCTTATTCTCCATAACTATAGTGTCTCATTACATAACCCATGCTGATTTCAAAATTGTGATCCTCCTGCCTCAGTTTCCTGAAATGCTGGGATAACAGACATGCATACCATGCCCAATCCTAGTAGATTGTTTTATTTGGTGGGTAGATTTGTTTGTTTGGGATAGCGTCTCAGTATGTAACCCTGGCTGTCTTGAAACTCACAAAAGAACTGCAATTCTCAGCCCCTAGAATATTTTTAATCATTATCTTTCTAGGTCATCACAATTAGCATCTTATTGGTTGCATGTAAAAATAATTATCATTTCTTCAACCATTCCCATAGTGTTGTCTATTCTGCTGCCTATAACTTTTTACTTATTATAGTATACTTTATTTATATACTAGTCTAGGCTTTTAAATTATTTATATTAAGTATCCATTTTAATTGGCCTTTTGGCTAAGGCCAAGTTTAAATCTCCTTTAGCTATCTTAAATAAAATGTAGAGCCCAGCCAGATTCCTTACTAATTCTAAAAAAAGTTTGAACTAGTTAGACAAAATAAAGAAAAAGAAAGAAAAGGCCATGGCTCCCTCTTCTTCCTTTCCTGGCCAGGGGGCAAAGACGAAGGCATTTCAGGATTGAGACAGAAAGATGATTAGAGGACACTGGCTTCCATCCTGGTCTCTGCTATCACCAAGTAGCTAGACGGGGAATACAATTCAGGCATGGTGCTTCCTCTGTTAACTGAAGGGCTGAAACACTAGATATCCAATGACACACACCCTAGAGCCCTTGCCACAAAAATTCCCTGGGATATCCTACCAACCAAAATAAAGGTGTGCAGTCTCAGGTTTGTGGGAGCAAGGCTATACTTGCATATCTACACATGGAGAGATCCACCCTACTGGAGATGATTGCCTAAGACATGCATCCTAGTAGTAAGGAAGTAGAATTCTTCACATGGGTTTATGAGTGCCTAACGCAGCAGCTTTTAACTACCTTCAGGAATCAGTGCTGACGGCCACGGCCAAGTATGGAAGTTCTTCTTTATCTTTCAATTTAATTTTTGTAGCTCTCCAGTCCAGCCTCAGCTGTCTTCTAACTATGTAAATGGAAACTCTACTCTTATGGTATACAAAGGGCCTTTAAACAACTTTTTTACATTTATTTTTATGTAAGCACAGGCATATGCCACGCAGCACATATGGGGAGGTCAGAGGACAACTGGCAGGAGTCGGTTCTCCCCTTTCACAATGTGAATTCCAGGGATCAAACTCGGCTCCAGGTTTGGTGGCAAGCACCTCAACACACGGAGCCATCTCTACCCTATGATAGATCTTAACAAGATCCTTCTGATTGCTCTGACAGCTCATAACCTAAGCATCTGTGGGGAGCTTCTCCCTTCTTACACCACAACATTTTAATAGCTTTCTGTCATATGCTAGAATTTAGTCTTCCCAAAAGAACCACCCAGAGTTCTCCAAGAACGAGATGATATATAAAGAAAGAAAAGAGTCATCATAGTGAGTGCTCTCTCTCTTTGTGCCAACTATGTGCTGGAATTTCTTATCCTCCTGTAAGATAAATCAAAGCATAATGATTTCATCACAGAATACCTGTGAATAAATTCAAACTTCAGCATTGTGTGCTGTTTTGCAATGCACAATGTTTTCTTTGCCTCCCTCCTCACAGTATTTTAGCTGCTGTGCTGTCTAGTTTTATGACAATATGACACAAGCTATAGTCATCTAAGAGGAAGGAACCTCAACTGAGAAAACTCCTCCAGAGATGAGACTGTATGCAGACAAGCCTCTAATTGATAGGGGAGGGCCTGGCCCACAGTGGGTGCTGCCATCCCTGGGCTGGTGGTCCTGGATTCTATAATGAAGTAGGCTAAGCAGGCCATGATGAGCAAGCCTGTAGGCAGCACTCTCCATGGCCTCTGCATTAGCTCCTGCCTCCAGGTTCCTGCCCTGCTTGAGTTCTTGTCCTGACTTCTTTCAATGATGACCAGTGATACAGAAATGTAAGTCAAATGAACTCTTTCCTCTTTGATTTTGGTCATGGTGTCTCATAGCAATAGTAACCCCAACTAGGGCAGGTACTATTACTGACAGAGACATATGAGAAGAAATGAGTATAATTAGGGGAGGCATTTGCTTGCACAAAACCTGTGAAGTCCACTCTACTGACAATAACTGAATTGGCAGTTTCAGCAAGATAAAAACTGGAGGTATCCCAAAGAAGGAAGTGAGGGGGTAAAGAGAACTATAATACAACCGAGTGCTGGGGAGGGAGGCCTAGGAGGCACCATGGAGGAGGAGTGTGACCTAACAGTTCTGAGACAAAAACAGGCTCTGGTAAGACTTAGACTACAAACATCTGAGTTGGTTGAAATTGGTGGTGAATTAAGGATTCCAGGACATCTGTTACAAAAACACCAAAAATAAAAAGACGGCAGCACTTTGCCCACTTCCACCCCACTCTAGAGACAAGCACAGTGGGAAGTCCCAGCCAGGGTTCTATGGCTGCCAGGCTCTTCATTACTGAGTCAGAACCTTGTCCATGCTAGGCATAATCTGTGCTAGGCAAGCACTCTATCACTGAGCAACACCCCCAGGTCTCAACTGTGACAGTTTGCTAATTAGCTAGGTGTGACGGCACATGCCTACAATCCCAGCACCATCTATAGAGAGAGGCAGGAGGATGAGGATTGAGATGGTGGGAGGTCAGTGTCAGATGTGGGTACCCTCAGCTACACAATGACTCTGAGACCAGCTGTGGTTTAAACAAAGTCTGCTATAATCAAGCCCTCCTCTCTTGTAATTAAATAACATGCAAGCCTATGTAGCACCTACATAGCAGCTTCTTTGGCCCTCAGAAGAGCCCATTCATCAGTTTCCCCAGGATTGGGCCCAGGTTCTGTTTTAAATCTTACACTAAAGTTGGAAGAGACTTTGGTGACAGCCAACAATAAGTGTTGGTAGGGCTTTGACTTTGGGCTGGGGAGCTAATAGGAGTGAGGCAGAACTGTGTGCCAAGAAGTTGAGGACAGACATGATCTGTGCTCAAGCATCTCCTCTAAAGACAGACTTCCTTGTGGCTCAGGCTTCTTACTGCTCAAGACTTTCGTCTCAGCTGCGGAGATTGTTTAAGAGCACCTTCAGGTTGTGCTTTCTTTCCTAGCTCTTAGACACCAGAGCTCCTCAAGGTCCATCCTGTTTACAGACCATGATTCCTTTTAGGTGATGTCTAGATGACCATTTTTGGCTCTAATTAGTTCCCCCACACGGATGACTCTCCATCTTGCCATTTCCTGTGGCATACCTGCTCACCTGCATGACAGACAGTAAGGACCTCAAAACCTAACACTAGTAGATGACAGTCTCAGGTACCCACACTAGCAAGCCAGAAACTGAGCCACTTGGATTTCTCCTCCCTGGACCCTATACCAAGTCATAAAATATGGCCTCCTCAGCATCCCTAGCACGACTGCTACGTTTAGCACCATCTTATCTCTGTTGCACAGTTGGTGGCTACAAGAAAAGCAGAGTGCTAGAGTCCATCCCAGCCAATGTACCAGCTTTCACTCCTGTTTTGTCCTGCTTATTCATAGAACTGTAAGGATGGGGCCAGAAAGATGAAAGCTACACATGTAATCAATTCTAAAGCAACAAGATCCATAAAACCTAACCGCTTTAGCACTCATTCACTTGACTATCTGCCCTTCTATTTCCTTCTAACTACTTAGCATTACTAACCAATCAGGACTAGACACTTACACAACCATGAGATACAGTCACTGTTACAAAGAGACAGAACAATTACAAGAGAATGTGATAAGTTATATAGGGTGTCATGGGTCTATGTCATGAGTCTATGAGGGAAGGAGAGAGGAGGGGTAGACATTTTAGAGGTGAGGCTACCAGCCCTGAGCTTGAGGGGAAACGGGTCTCAGAGGCCCTTACTTTTTAAGCTAAAGCCTTGAAGGAAATCACACAAAGTCCTAAAAGGCTCAAAAGGAGATGTTTGGGGAAATACAGCTAACAAGAGTCTGAGCTAAGATCCTAACAGTATATAGGCAAGCAAGATTCTCTCAGCTCATTACAGTTGGATGCAGGAGAAGCATCAAGGGTCCTTAAATGTATGGCTTCGGCACCTGCATGAATGGGTCCTCTCTGGATGGCCGGCCAGATCTGCAGAAGGGAAGGCAGAGGTTAAGTTCAGTTTCTCAGAAATGTGCGGTGTGGGTGCCTGTAAAACAGTAGATAAGAGGTCAGGTAGAAAAGAAGAAAGGGGAAGACAGCTGCCACTGAAGTATTTCAACAAGAGATTGAAACAAGTTGTTTCAATAGATGTGTCCCACGAGTTTGCATGATAAACATGTATTATTGCTTTTATAGTAGAAAAATGTGTATAAATGGAATATGGTAGTGCATCCCTACAATACAAACACAGCTACTGGGAAGCAGATGTAGAAGGATTTGATGCACACATGTATGCTTGAAGCCCACCCCACCACCAAGACTTTATCTCAAAAACCCAAACAAAAATGGAACTAGTCACTGACAGACTCTGTAACAACACAGTTCACAGGTTGATGAATAAATGTTCAGTAGTTAATTAAAAGGAATGTGGTTAGAAGGGAAAAGACCAATTTTCTGAGTACAGTGCCAGCTGCTGGTAGACTCCTT